CCTCAGAAAGAACCAATACTGCCAACACTTTACTTGGGACTTCTCACCTCCAGAACCATCCTGTTGTTTTAAGCCACCAAGTTTGTGTGTGTGTGTGTGTGTGTGTGTGTGTGTGTGTGTTTTTAATGCAGCTGCAAGAAACTAATGCAAATGCTAGAGGGCATTTGATAGGGGCCAGCAGATGGTGTGGTAGTTAAGGCACTGGATCCCACATGACTAAATGCACAGTTTGAGTCCCAGATTTAGCAGCTTGAAAGACACATAGGATGAGTGCGTGTGTGTGTGTGTGTGTGTGTACGCATGTGCCTAACATCCTGAGAGGAGAACGGAGGAGAAGGGGTTAGAGAAATAATGAGAAAGACTCTATTGCCAGTTCGATAAAAATTTCAATACCTAGAAATAAGCTTTTAAGTGCTGGACCCTCAGGGTGACGGTTCTAACATTTGATTGGGTTAACACCCAAAAGATTCAAACAAATGGAGACACTTGCTCTAGTTTCAGATAGAGTTAATTGAATGTTATAAGGGTCTAAACTCTCCCCAAATAAATCTCTATATTTTCCACAATATAAATATTAATGGGATTTTAAAAAATGAACAGAATTACCTTAAAGTTCATCTGAAGAACTGAAAAAGAGTGATACTGTTGTATGAGAGTATTAAGTAACCAGAAAAATGTCAAAATATATTAACTTGTTTAAAAACAGTTTATAAAATATTACAGTCACAATTTCTGTTAAAAAATAAATTATGCAGAAAAAGGGGCTTGGAGTAGATATAGTAAAATGTGCTAAGAAGTTATCTCTGGGTAATGAAATAATTTTTAAGCTCATCTTATTTTCTAAATTATACTGGTATTGTATAGAGGAGAAAGTCATAGATTTTTTTAAAAATAAGAATTCAGATCATATCTTTATTCCTTTAGGGAGTTTTTCCTTAGTTAACTTCATTCCTCTGGATCTAAATTTTATTATTTTTACCTTTGCAGATATAAAATAGCTTAAGTCTCTGTCTGTCTCTATCCCAGGTTTGTGAATTTCTTATAAGAGAATTTATATTTTACCTGTGTTTCCCTAACACATAGCCTAGTATATAGTAAGTCTTCAATAAGATTTGTTTACCAGATAAAAGAAAAAGGAAAAAAAGTAAAAATACACCGCATAGATTAGAAGATTTGCAATTCCTTTAATTACCACTAGAGGGAACCACATGCCCACCAAGATAGCTGTAGAAGCTTTTCAGATTTTTTTTTTCCCTCCCCCTTGGCGCAAAAAACTAATAGGAGACAGAAGGGAGAAACAGAACAGAGAAAGACAGAGGAGAGAGAGAGAGATTGAAAGTGAGAAAGCACCCCCCCCATAAGAAATGATCATGTCCCCCGTGGAAAATGATCACGCCACAATCTTTTCTCCATCTCTCCCTCCTTTTGGGCACACACGGACATGTGTCCAGCATGTTTTTCAAGTCTCTGGGTCCAGGATTAGGGGCACAGTCGTGCTTGTGTGACCTACACCTTAACCACCACGCCACTGCTGGTATTTTTCTTTTCTTTTCTTTTCTTTTTTTTTTTAAACAATGCCGTTCCAATCTGAGAGACTTTCTAGAGGTATTACCAAAGCCACCTAAGGCAAACTGAATTTAAATCATTTCTAACATTGAGATGTGTATTCTAAGATCAGATAATCCTGAGATATTCCACTTTACCCAAATCCAATGTCCTTAATATCTGCCCCATTCATTCTGGCAACCGTTGAAAGCAGTCTTATTGGTTATTAAATTGTATCCTGCGCTACATCTTGCTTACACAATACGACGCACAGGTTTAAGCTCACATCTCACCCATTCACTGGCTCAGTTCTAGTCTAAAGATTTTCAGAAGATATTTCATTGAATTTAAAGGTTAGCATTCTCCCTTGAATCATGTGTCTCTCTAAGAAAAAGTAACAGGCAAAATTTCAAATTTACAAAACACAAAAATTATGTGGTGACCATAACAACATTCTCAGATTTTAGATGGGTTTCAACACAAAGTTTCGATAGAAAGCCTCTCCTGGTTGACTTAAAATATCATCTTGTTTTTAGAATTAAGGTGGTATCCACTTTTACAAGAGACAATTATGATTTAAGAGTTACCGAATGTTGCTGAGGAGATTTGAGGGCCAAGCAAGTCCATTGAAGGGGACAGAGGTGGCTGAATGTGGTAAATGCTTCAAAATGAAAGTGGGGATCTGCTTGATTGCAGAGGTGGTGTACTAGAAGGGCTGAGCCCGAGTCTAGAAGGAAAGACACCCGTCTACAGCAGCTTTGGTAGGTCTCCAGCATTACCAACCAGGTGCCTGGTGGTGTTCAGAGCTCAAATCCCAGCTCCACCACTTACAAATCTGTGTGATCCTGCACCAGCAGTTGGCATAATGGCTATGTTGCTGGACTTCCATGTAGTTGACCGTGGTTCGAGTCCCAGACCCGGTGGCTTAAACTTACGCTGGGCACGTGTGGGCCCAAGATCCTGAGAGGAAGATGGAGGAGAAGAGATTGTAGTGTGGCCATCCCCCTGGGGGGTGATTTCTCTCTTTCTATCTCTCTGTCTCTCTCTGTCTTTCTGGCGAGCGCATGTGCCCTATAGCAAAAACCTCTCCAAAAAAAAAAAAATGTAAAGAAAGAAACAAATCTGTGAGTTCCTGAACGAGTTACTCAATCTCTCAATGCCTCCAGTGCAGAATGGGGATGATCATTAGAACCTACTGCATAGGATTCTCAGGAGGATTAAATGAGGTAATAATGTAAGTAAAGTGCTTGGAATAGTATCTGGTGCGTAAACGCTCGAATAGTCTCTGTCACTTATGAGCCCATTCAACAGATTAAATAGGAAAATGTCAGCAACAAATTGTGCCTGGCAGAGGACAGGCGCCAACTAGGTGTGGATTGTCACTATGCGAGAGCAGAGTCCCGGGCAGTCCATAGTCGTTTCATCCCCTGGAAGATGTATCCTCATCATGTGTGTGACCACGAGACTTCCCTCTTGCTTTATAGCACTGGCTTTTTTTTTTTCTTGTAAAAGTTTGGTTTTTTAATCCCCTGTGCGTACAGGGAGACGTTGGGACATGAACCCAGGACATTCCCTATGGCTTCAGCCTGATGGAGTACTGCACTACCACTGCACCACTGTGGCTGGCCATGAGTGACACAGCTTTTACGATCACGCTGGTTCCTTTATCCTGATTCCTATCCAGTCCGTCTGTCACCTTCCGTTCAGGAGTCAGCATTCGGTGTAAACACTGGCCTAAGGAGATGTACTGGCGAGCCACTGATGTGACTAACACACCGCACTTAATTAGTTTCGGAGACAAAATCGGGTCACATTTCCGTGAATGTTCCACTCGCAAGGACTTTAATCTCCTTCAGAGATTAAATAGATGACCAAATAGATGGAATGAACACTTTCCAGGGATTCTTTCCCCCCTAAATAGCCTCAAGGAAACAGGGTTCATTCATTCGATCAGCAAGCATTTACTGAACATCCGCTGAGTGACAGGTACAGTTCAAGGCATTGCAATTAAGTCAGCCAACGAAACAGAACCCCCGACCCTGTCTTCACCGGGTTTTCTCCAGTAAGAGGGCCGACTACTGAGCGAACCAGTTAACTAATGTCGGGGGAGCGCGGTGAGGAGTACTGAGAGGAGTGGCCAAGCAGCAAGTGGCAGGGATCTACGGGGTCAGGTGGGGCGATTCTAGACAGGAGCCAGGGCTACCCGGAGCCGAAGGAGCTGGGGATGGCCTCCATCAGGCTGAGAGCTGCTGAACTTCGTGGCTTGTCTGCTGTGACACGCTGGGAGAAAAGGGGTTCAAACCAGCCCAGGACTGGCCAGTCTCCACTCCTGCGCATCCCACACCTCCCCTCCGGCTGAACTCATGGGCATCCAGCGACGCCCCACCCTACCATGCTGGGACCACCTCTCCATGTGTGACACAGTTGCCTAATCCCAGAAGTCCATAGCCCGGCCCTGGGACTGCTGCCTCTGACAAAGACCACATGGCCAGTGGGCCCCTCTCCCAGGTCCTCCTGGGTGAGAGCAGCTCCTCCCTACTCTAGAACCTCTCTGGCGTCCCCATACCTTGGGGAGATCACAACCCATCCTTCCCTCTGTCCTTTCCGACCATAGAATTAGGTGCCTCCTAAGAGGACAGCCAGCAAGGGCTTCACAGCCCAGACAGACGGTCCCCAAACAACATCGCCAGAACACTGATCTGTCTGGTAAAGTGTGCGGAATCCCACCCCAGCCTCGGTGGCCTTGTTAGAAAAGCAGCTGGATCCAGAGGTTAGCAAGCAGTTTCTCTAAGGAGTCAGAGAGTATATGGTTTAGATCCACCAGACCTACAGGTTTCTGTGGCTTGGTCTTCTTTTTGTTTTAACTCATTAAAAAGCTTTTTATTTTTGTTTTTGTTTTTTAAGTTCTTAGCTTACAGACAGTACTAAAACAGGATTTAGGTCATAGTTTGACAACTCCCATCTCAACCTATTTATTGATTACTTACATTCAAATCAATAAATTGGCCCAGCCAGGTGGTACAGGCTAAACTTACTGGACTACATGGCTAGCAGCCATATTGGCTAACCATGGGTTCAGGTTCCCCGCTTGGCCTGAAAACATGCCACGTGCCCAGGAGGAGCTGGAGGGCCAGGAAAGGGGATCTATGTGACAGACCCTGCAGAGGGTTCTCTCTATCTGTGGTCCACATGCTTTCTGTCTAAAGAAAATTAATAAGTTGTTTTCATGGTTTGTAAATCGGCCTTTTGTTAGTTTATTTAGCACCCATGGGACACAATTATCTGCTGCACTGGGATAATGTATCACTTTGTAAGAGTCTAAGAGCCAGCATGTAGCAGGCATTTGATTCGTTGCACAGTGGAAGAGATGTTCTCTGCACAGCAGACACGGGGTTCCTCTCAGGAGGGGACTGTTCCTGGAGAAGAACTTGCTGGAGCACCGTGGATGTGAAGGGATGCTGCAAGGCATCACTGGGAAGGAGGCAGGGATGCAGAGAGAGATTGCACAGCTCTGCCGGAGACGCTATGAGAAAGGAAAGTGGGAGAAAGAGTGGTTGGAAGGAGGCATGGGGGAGAAGGAGAGGAGGACTGAGGCCCATCTGGAAAGGCGGGTAGAGACACAGTCCTGTAGTATGGTGGTCAGATAATCATTATTATTACCACTATTTTAGATTTTTGCCATAGGGCATGTGTTCTCACCAGAGAGAGACAGAGATAGAGAGAGGGAAAGTGAGAAATCACCGCCCCTGGGTGGGGGGGCACACCACAATCCTTTCTCCTCCATTTTCTTCTTGGGATTCTGGGAAGGCACACACACATGCCTGGCATGACTTTCAGGCCACAGGGACAGGAACCAAACCTCAGAGTCAGTCATGTGGGATCCAGCATCTTAACCTCCATGTCACCTGCTGGCCCGAGGATTATTCTTATAATCAACAAGACTGCCTGATACTCCACTTTAAGTTATCTGCACTGCTGAAATGGAAACCTCTCCAGATCCCAAAGTCTTCCAGATCCCAAACCTCTGTAGCTTTCTGTTTTTCTTCACAAGCAAGACTAACTTCAAACAGCAGGGTTTATCGGAAGGACTGGAGCAGATCAAAGAGTCGAAGGAAGTATGAAAGAGCGAACAGCAGTGCTGGCATTCTGGCCGGGCTGTTCCCCCTGTGGTCACTTGGTGGCTGCTGCGTGCCAGCGCAGAGTCCAGGCACACGATTTCTGACTGGCCTGGCTCCTTGACCCAGAGGTGGCAGAATGCCTGACACCTGCACCCATTCTATTGTAGGGAGGTGGCACCCTGCAGCCGATTGGGGATACGCCGACCAGGAAAGGGGGCTGGTGGACAGGCAAGCCATAGATGTTCATTGTATCCACAGCGCACCAGCAGCCCCCTGGGTGGTACTGGGTGGAATCCACATTCTGGTCACAGGTAGTAGAAAGAGGGACCCGACACAGGTGAGCGCTCAGGGAGATGCAGGTCAGAACCAAGGGTGATGCGGAGAAAGGAGCCCCTGGGATTTCACAGAAATCCTGAATAGGTTATTGTAGTAGTCCCAGGATGCTGGAAGGGGCTGGAATAAATGTATTATTTCCCTGATCTCATCCCTAATCTGCGGCCCTACGGAATCTACTTGTTGAAGGATCAGACCTGACATGTGGGAGAGATAGGCCCTCCAGGGCCATTGTCTGAGCAGCCAGCGTGCTCTCCCACTTACATGGAGCAAGGGGCTATTATCTAATCATCTCGAGACCAGAAGGTCCTCAGTACAACCACGCTAAAGTTTGGAATTAAGAAATTCATTTTGAGGTCCTCCAACCATCACTTTATTGTCCGACCCGTGGGGGTTGTGAGTCCAGGGGCTCGCAGGTGATCCCCAGACCAACAGCTTCAGCATCAATCTGGGAACTTGTTAAAAACATTAATTCCAAGTCTCCCCAACCTACCAAGCCAAAAATGCTTGGTGGAGGGGGGTAGGACAAGCAGTCAGTATTTTATTTTTAAAAGAAATTTTAGCTATAGGCATGCATACTCTCCAGAGAGACAGAAAGAGAGAAATCACCCCCCCAGGGGGATGGCCACGCCACATCCCTCCTCTCGGGATGGTGGGTATGCCACACATGCGTCCAGTGTGAGTTTTACGCTGCCATGTCCAGGACTCAAACCATAATCGACAATGTGGGAGTCCAGTGACATACCCATTACACCACCTACTGGTCCCAAGCAGTTAGTATTTTAACAAGAACTCTAAGTGCTTCTGGTGCAGGCTCCACTTTAAGAACCACTACACTAACAGATTCGCTCAAAGTCACGGACGGTGAGTGAAGAGCAAGAGATTTCTGGTCCACGTAGATCTTGTCTCATTCAAATCTCTTTCCTGAAATTCAGTCCGTTTCCTTCTATATGCACTAAGTAGCAATATTTCACTCCAGTTACCCATGCATCTGTGACCCAGAGAAGTGGATTCCTACACTCTGCCCCTAGCATTAGCCACGCTTGCTAAGTTCCCATTGTCCTTTTCTCCAAAAGTTGATCCTGACCTTTGGCTTAGTCTCCCCCTTGTCTCTTCTGAGATTCTGAGGGCTACTGTAGTGTCCAATCTCTTCCTCAACCACTCTTAAAAAAAAAAATGTTTGTTGTTTGATGCCTAAGTTTGGGGTAATTTTCTTTTTTTAACTTTAAAAACAATTTGCCCTATGGCATGTGCGCTCACCAGACAGGCACAGAGAGTAAGAGAGAGCGAGAGAGAGAAAAGTGGGAAAGCACCCCATGGAGAATGGTCACATGCAATCCCATGTCTTCCATTTGTTCTTCCTCTCCAAACTTTGGACACGCAGGCACACATGCTCAGTGTGTTTTTCAGGTTGCTGGGTCCAGGATTTGAGCCATGCAGTTGGTCATGTAGGATCCAGCTGCCTTAACCACCACACTACCGGCTGGCCCTTCTTTTTTTATTATTGTTGTTGTTTAGAGGTTGTTTTTTGTTTGTTTGTTTGTTTGTTTGTTTTTGCCATAGGAAGTACATGCTCATGGGGGAGAGAGAGAAAGAGAGATACAGTGACAGAGGCAGTGAGAGGGAAAGTGAGACATCTCCCCCAGTGGGAATGGCCACACCACAATCCCTTCTACTCCATTCTCCTCTTGGGATCTTGGGCACACATGCACACGCACCCAGCATGATTTTTCAAGCCCGTGGATCTGGGACTCAAACCACAATCGGCCATGTGGGAGTCTAGCTACGTAACTACATCATCTGCTGGTTCCATTGTTGTTTTTTAAGTTGTGTGTGTGTGTGTGTGTGTGTGTGTGTGTGTGTGTGTTTTCATGAAAGAGAGCAAGACAGAGAGAGACAGACAGAGACGGAGAGACAGGCACTCTCAACAGATCCTCACACCACTCTCCACTCCCATCTCAGCTACCTTCATCATGTGCGTGTGTGTAGTGAGTACCAGAAGGTCCAAGAACAAACCAGGGACGTCCCATATGGGCCTGCCTATGTCACTGCTCTGCCACCACCTGGCCCTTCCTCCTCAACCACTCTTACCAGTAACTTCAACTCCCCTTTCCCTCCTGGGACACTCTTAAATTCCAGAACTTCATGTAATTCAGAGAAGGACAGAGATGAATCTGGCTCACAGAACCTTGGCGCATTTTCTGGCCTTGAGGTGCTACCCAGCATCACGGAAGAGGCAAAATGCCATTTCAGCTTAGCTCACAGGAGGACACGTTGACTCTGGCTTACTAAATCAAGAGCCATGCCTTCCATTGCAATATTTTTCTCAAAGTTCTCCTACTTATTCCCTTTCAGCACCACAGTCACCAAATTCCCATGAGATGCTATAAAGACATTACCAGGTCAGAAGTACTGGGAGTACTAAGGCTGGTGTAAATATTTGCCCCCACAGCTGGTCCTGTAGCACTGTGGTTAAGTGCTATGTGGGGCTAACTGGATTCCATATGGCCGACCACAGCTGGAATCTTGGCCTGGCCCTGACAGCTTGAAAAACACACTGGGCATATCTGAGTGTTCACCCAAAATCATCCACGTGGGATGGAGAAATGGCGGAAATAGGATTGTGTCATGACCATGCCCCACTTAGAGGTGCTTTCTCTCTTTTTCTCTGGCAAGCGCATGCCACTTTAAAAAAATATGTATACATATATATTTGTCCTCAGAGGAGATCACATCTGTCTTGTTCTTCTCATTGGAACTGGCCCCTTGTGATATACAGCACTCCTCACAATTGCTAAAATGCTTCCAGGTCAATCAGCGCCCTCCAGATAGCTAAGCACCTCACATGGCATATCCCGAAGGATTGATAATGGAACCAAATGCTAAAGTCACATAAATCTCAAAGAGTGATAGCTCGTGAGAATAGACACTAGGCTCAAGAAAAAGGATTATATACTATCACTAGGAAGTCAGTCCTGTCAAGAGAATCAAGAAACAGGCTGCTAAAAGCTGAAAAGGGAAGGGAAGAGAGATGCCAACCAAAGTTGGTCTAAGGTGGAGCTGCCCAGCCCCAGCCTGAGCGCCTATTACTGTGACCTCACATGGAATTAAACATTCTGTTGAAGGGCTTCTTCTTTGGTAGCTTTGTTCTCCCATCCCCACCACCCACAAAGGATAGCCCTGACACTCATTCTTCTGGTCCTTTCTCTCTCTCTCTTTCTTTCTCTCTTTCTTTCTTTCTTTTTTCTTCTTTTAATAAAATTTTTAAACAAAATTGAGATCATACAGTACTTATCAGTATATAATCTGTGTTTTCATTTCATATGTTATCTGTTTTCAGGTCATCGTATGTTTTTCTACATTAGCAATGTACGACCCGTGTAGAGAGTCACTGTGAAAAAATAGGGACCATAAACTAACTAACCAGGGCTGTTCCGAGACGCCTGTGTTCTTGACTATTGTCTTCATAGGGCATTCTATCATTTATGGTATACAATTAATTACATTTGTTCCATTTGATACTTTGGCCCTAAATTTTATTTTGCATGATTTTGATATTAACATATAGATGGGTTTGCTTTGGTTGCATTGGCCTTTGATATCTTGCCCCTCTTATTACTTGTCAACCTTTTGTGAGGTATGTATCATTTTGTAAACAGCATATGGCTAAATTCCTTTTATGTTTCACTCCACTTGAGAGCCTTTTATCTTTTTGGTTTCTTTTCTTTTCCTTTTTTTGTTTTGTGCCAGAGACAGAGAGAGAGAAAAAAAAGTGAGAAATCACCCAGGGTCATGCCACAGTCCCTTATCCAGTCTCCTCTTGGGATTTTGGGCGTGCACGCACACATACCCTACATGATTTTCAACCCACCTGGGACTAGAATTGCGTAGTCGGCCATGTGAGATACAGCTGCCTTAACTTTTTTTTTTTTTTGGAGAGATTTTCACTGTAGGGCGCATGCGCTCGCCAGACAGACAGAGAGAGACATAGAGACAGAAAGCGAGAAATCACCCCCCAGGGGGGATGGTCACGCCGCAATCCCTTCTCCTCCATTCTCCTCTCGGGATCTTGGGCATGCACTCACACGCGCCCGGCGTGAGTTTTAAGCCACCGGGTCCGGGACACGAACCGCGGTTGATTACGTGGGAGTCCAGCGACATAGCCAGTACGCTAACTGCTGGTTCCCAGCTGCCTTAACTTTTATGCCACCTGCTGGCCCTTGTTTGTTTTTTTAAACAAGTAGCTTGGGACTGCAGGCTTGCCTAAATTTCTAGTCCTTTTTTTTTTTTTTTTTTTTTTTTTTTCTGGATGCTTTTTTAGCTGCTGGTTGTAGTGCATAAGGATTTCTTTTGTTTTTGTTTGTTTGTTTGTTTCACATTTAACTACCATGTATCATTACAGCATACCAAATACATTTTCCCATCATGAATACACTGTATATTGATTTAGTCAAAAATATTATCACACACATTATCATCAACAGATAATTTTCCATTTTTGTATCCCTTAAATGTTTTGTTTCTTTCTTTCCCCCCTGGATTCCCTCCCTCTCATCCTCCCCTATTTCCTGCCCTCCTCCTGCACTGTCTCATTGCTCTTCATGCTCTCATACCTTCCAGTCTTTCAGTTCCTGCCATAGAATGCAGACATTTGGTATATGTTAATGGAGACATACAATACCTCTCTTTCATAGTCTGACTTGCTTTGCTTAGCAGTAAATTTTCCATATTTGTCGATTTTCTATCAACGCTAGGGTCTCACTGATTTTTTTTTTTTTTTTATGGCTGAGTAGTATTCTATAGTGTATATGTGCCAGACTTTTTCCAATACGTTCATCTGTTCATGGACGTTTGGGGTGGTTCCATGTCTTAGCATTTGTGGATAGTGTGTAAGTTTTTAATAGCATGTTGAGTAGGCAGTACTTTTCAAACTGTGACTTTTTAAAAAATTCATGATAGAGCACATGTGCATGTGCACAAGAACAAAGAGGAAAGAGAAAGAAGCACTCTTCATAGGGTTTGGTCATGCTGCAACTCCTGTCCTCCAGCCCTGCAGCAAATGAGGATTCTAGTCCTGGCACACACTATGCCTGAGATTCAAACCATAGCCAGCATGTGGCTTCCAGCTCCACAGTCCAGAACTCTACCAGCTGTGCCACAGAGGCTGGGCCCATCTTTTGACTTATAATGGGTATTTCCAAGTCATTCACAGGACAAAAATTATATTTGGGCTTTGTTCTGTCCATTTATTTTATTGTTTCTATTTTTAATATTTCCTTGTTGCTTCTTTCTTTTTTCCCTTAATATAGTAATAAATTTTAATTTTTTTCTAATTCATGATTTAGAAATGATTAACTTTCTGTTTTCTATTTGGGTTTACTTAATGTAAAAAATGTATAAATGATACCTCTTTATTTCAACACTTTAAAGGGCTTATTCAAGTAAAACATAAATATATTTGCATTTTAGAAGTTTTGCTAAGACCGAAGTATATACAGTGAAAAGGGAAAATTTCCTTTACGATCCTCAATCTCATCACCCCCACTCCCACAGAGAACCACTGCTGGGAGTGCCATGTGTATTCGTGTAGACTCTTTTCTCTGTATATGTGTGTGTTTGTGTATAAATTTGTAAACTTTTAAAAACACAAATAGAATCAATATGCCTGTTTTCCTGCTGTTTGCTTTTTTCATTTAATAATGCATTTCACTGTAACTTTAAAAACACAGTACTATGTCAGTACTTAGATGCCTGTCATTTGTCATGGCAGTCTATAACATAGATTTATCTAATGTAATCTCTCTTTTGCTGACTGATGTTCAATTTGGTCCTATTTTTCACTACTAAGATGATCGAATAAAAAT